CACTTCCTCACACGACTGTGGGTCACCGTCACCTCCCTCCCCCATCATTTCTAATTTAACGCTCTCTTCATCAGGTTGGCCAAGCCCTCCGGGAAAGATTTTGCCCCACTTGGTGAGGTGGATCTCGCCTCTTCCTGGCAGTCCTCAATCCTCCATAGCTGTAAAAAACAAGTCCCTGTTGTCAATAACAGCTGTGTAACTGGTTGGTGACCCACCAGATCTGTCCACCCCTCTTCCTTCCCTTCCTCCTCTATGTCAGGGTTGAGGAGAAGATGGGCCAGGCTACCTGTCTGCTACCTATGCAGTCAAGGAAGAACAAGAACTTGCAGTGTCACCAGAGGAGATCCAACGCTCCTGCTACAGCAGTTAAGTGTTACGGCCCAACAGCTGAGAGACTGTCACAGTTTGTCCTAATTGTGGCAGTCAGGCTTACATACACGGGGAAAAAAAAAAAAAAAAAAAAGAATTATAACTATGCAAACCAGGTTTCATTCACCATATGACGCACTCCAACCACACAATCAACTGTTTCATCTCAGGGAAGGGGACAAGAGCAGCTGGAGAGTGGGAACATTTTTAATCACTTTGAGGGATTATCTGACCATTCCTTAAGTTAGGCAGCTCCAGCAGGCAGTCAGAACACAGCCTGAAGTAGAAAAGCAGAGGGGAAAAAAAAAAGACATTTTTTTCCACTAACTTCCTGCAGTTCTAATAACTGTGACTTTTGCTTAGAAATAGAAGTGAAAAAAAGACCTCAGACAGCAGTGCTGCTGTTTTCTCCAAGCTATAGAAGTGAGGGTTTTTTGTACAACACATTTGAAAACATCAAAATATTAAGTAGTTTCTTAAAAAGACTGAAAAGAAGCTTTAAACCCCGGCATACTTTCTGTTAGTTTGGATATATCTGGAAGTCTTTCAATTACAGCTGTGTGGGATGATCTTTTCTGTTCATCCATCTATTGTAAGATGTGATTTGGGGTTCCCAGAGAGTCCAGGCTGCTATGAAATAGGTTGATATCGCTCCTCTCCCTTAGAGGATGTGAAAAAATGCTGGAAAAATAGTCAGGGCCGGGGGTGGGGGGGAAATAAAAGGAGTAAGATCCTCTCAGTTCTAGTCTTGTGTGTTTAGGTGGTGATGGTTAAAGACGAGAACGGGAGTTGTGCTAAAAATACATTATTTCACAAGGTCAGATATTTAGGGGTGCGGCTATGAGGAAGTGCAAGGATCCTCCAATAGAGCAGCTAGGTAAGCCTCAGGCTGAAATGCTACTGCAAAACTCAGAGGCAGGCATTAAGAATGCCGTTTTAGTAATTTTTTTTTTTTTTTTCCTTGCTTAACACTGGAAGGAAATATTTATTCTGTGATTTTTTATACCTGCCACATGACTCAATGCCATAAGTTAATTCATTTTAGATCAGTTCTGAATTCTCACAGATTCATTTAGAGAACTGTCCACTAATTCTACATCTATCTGCATCTACCCACACAAACATTTAATGCAAGAATTCGTTTTTCATGAAAGCGTATCTTTCAGAAACACAACTAATCTTGATCTAAATGCATAAAAGACAGGGAATCCAATGCTTCTCTTTGAAGTTTGTGCCAGTGTTCGCCTAAAACCACAACGATGATCAATCCCACAAAGAGTCCAGCTGAATCCATGAAAGCAATAATGCCTAACATGCTGCTTCACCTCTCTCTTGGACTTTCCAATAGACTTATCTGCTATCAGTAAATACACTTGGGGCTCCCCTTTACCTCATCTTCATTGCACTTTTAATTCAAGAAAGGACTCACGCGTACAAGTTATTAGGAGTCAGAATAAATGGCAAAATAATCACACTTGCACTCAAACAAGCAGCACGGGCCCACGTTATGAGAAAGTAACCCAGACTGTTTGGCAGGTGAATTATTCCACAAGAAAATAAGTTCCAAACTACTCTGAAGAAACAGATGCCCAAGAGAACACAGCAAATGATACCTTGTCCGCAGAGACCATCAAACCAGGATGAGGTAAGGCTGGCCCGTCTGCTCTATCTGAACAGAAACTCAGTGATCACTATTTCATTGACCTACAGAAGAGTGCCTGAATTGATGAGACAATTGATAATTGTTTTCTTGTAGGGGCATTACAATGGAAGCTAACTGTTCTGAGATACTTTTGAAGGTCCCAAACTTAAGTATTTTCCATAGACATTAAACAAGTATAAACTGCATACGAATTTTAAGTATACTTGTCTAGTGCTAACTGAGTAAGAAAAGTTAATAAATATATTTAAATTTTTATCTTGTCATTAGCTTGAGGATTTCAAAGTAACATCAAAAGACAGATGATATTCCTAAGGTAAGTAGTCAGTGATGTCACTGAGGCACACAAGCAATCTCTGGAGACCTGGGAACAGAAGCCAGATCATGTGGATCTTGAAGCATTCTCTAGCCACTAGGAAACACTCCTTAATTAATTTAGTTAATATTTACATGCTGCATAGGAAAACAGAAATATTTAAATGACTCCTAATCTAATGATACTGTGCTAATGACCTGAGCTAAGGACTTGTGATATTACTGAAGATTTGTGAGTTAATTAGAAAGGCATCCGATAAGTCTGCAGATCACTTCATAGAAGACAGATGCTCATAATGATGATAACCAAGCTCAATTCATTAAAAATGAGGAGGCCCAACTTACTTGTGGTAAACCTAAACAAAAAATATTAATTAATGGCACAGATGTAAACTATTTGGGAAGAACAGGACTGGCTGATTTAAGCTGTATAGCCTGGTCTGAAGCAGTCTCAGCAAGAAGAACATTTTTAGAGCAGAATTTGGTGTCCTCAACAGAGAGCCCATCAATAGCTTCATTATTTTGTTAGAAAAGTTACATGACCCAATTAATCTCCACAGGCAGGTTGTATTTCAGAGAGAGAAAAGAAGTGCACTGCAGCTCACAAGTGCAATCTTTCCTTTCACAAGGGATTTCAGTTACTCATAAAATCTTCAGGTTGAGAAGCTTTAAGCGTTTCAGGCAGCAGGAGACTAAGGGCTGCGATGTAAGTAATGCCCCTTTTAAATCTTGATCTTAGGCTTTTTCCATAAGTGTAACAACCTTTGGGATTAGAGAATACCTCTATCACCCCCACCCTTAATTTCAGATGACCCTTGGAACTGTAACAGCCTTAGTGATGCAGACAGGTAATACCAGTGCCAGGATCAGTTCCTCTGGCGACTAACAATGGCAGTTGCTGGACGTTAGTGACACGGCATCATGCCGGTGGAAGGGACCCCCAGCCTCCTGCCCAAAGCAGGGTCAGCCGTGAGGTCAGATCAGGTTGCTCAGGGCTTCATCCAGTTGGGTCCTGAAACCTTCCATGAGCAACCGCACGACCTCCCTGGGCAACACCCTCTGCTGCTTAACAATCCTCACAGCAAGAAGTGTTCCTCCAGTCTCAGACTCTTTTGCCTCCAGTTGTGCCTGTTGTCTCTTCCACCATGCATCACTCTGAAGAGTCTAGCTCCACCTTCTTGCTGACCTCCTTCTAGGTAGAGGAGGGCTGATGTCCGGGTCACCTGAAGCCTTCTCCTCTCCAAGCTCCTTTGAGCCCATTTCCCTCAGCTTCTCCTTACAGGGCAAGTGCTCAAGCCCCGTTACCATCTTGGTAGCTCTCCACTGAACTCGCGCCAGTTAATGAATGTCTATCTTGAACTGCGGTGCCCCAAACTGGACACTGTTCTAGACGTAGCCTAACAAGTGCTGGGCAGAGAGGACGATCACCTCTCTCAGTCCCCTGGCTGTGCTCCTGTCAGTGCAGCCCAGGGTGCTGGAGGACCCCTTTCCTGCTGGGGCACACTCCTGGCTCATGTTCTCCACGATGCCCAGGCCCAATTTAGGCTGATGCTTCCCAGACGGTCAACCCCCAGCCTGTGCCATTGCAAGGGGTTACTCCTCCCCAAGAGCGAGACTTCAGGTTTTTCATTCTTGAATTTCATGAGGTTCCTCTTGGCTCGTTTCTCCAGCCAGCCCTGGTCTCTGTGGGTGGTAGACCCAGGGTATCAACCAGGGTATCACACACCTGGTGTCACCCGAAAACGTGATGGGAGTGCACTCCGTCACCTCCTACAGGTCACTGACAGAGATGTGAATCCAGACAGCTCCTCGTGCACGGTGGTACTCCACTTCTTCACAAACCCCAGTAATCATGATCCTCTGAGACCAATTATCTAACCCATTCTATTTTTTTTTTCCACCCATCCAGATCATAATGTCCTAGACACCACACTGCTTTTGGAATACCAACACCGATACAACTATAAAATTCATCAGGCTCAGCAATAAAACACATGCAAAATCTTTAAGCTGCCTGGATACTAGCAAATTTGCACAGCATAGAATACAACTTCAACTTTTGAAATGTGCTTATGAAAATCTGAGCCATGCTTTTATTATTAATAAATGTCAGTTATTAGCAAATGTTTCCTACTTTATATCCCAACTACATGCATTTAATTAAATGATGGCATTAGATGAGAAGAAAATAAGAAAAAGGCTTATATTAAGCTCAATGAATGGTAACATATTAATGATAAACTGTGAAATCCAATAAAATGTGATACATTCTGAAACTGTTAACAAATTGCAATAATTTCAACCTTTAACTTCAATGTGTGAAATTAAAAATGCAACATAAGGACGTAACCACACAAAACCATTTTCAAAGAATTTGCTTTCTCCTGACCAATAAGCCTCTCATCTCTGCTCCCACACAAACCAGATTCTGAGGATAGTACATGTTCTACTGTATTTTTACATGACATTTTCACCAAAACCAGACACATTTATTGGACAGCTGGAGAAAAATTAAATTGCAGGTGAGAAAACTGTCCATCGAGCATTGTGAACTGAGACATTTTCAAAAAGATGTCATATTTAAACTCAGTTACAAAATTTTATCTAGTTAAAAAAAGAAAAGGACACATATGCGCTTGAAGTAAAGAAGACTTACTGTATCATGTTGCCTGTTATCTTTCCCTGATACGATCAAGAAGTAGTTCCATGCCAGCAGCAACAACAAAGCCAGTGGTATCATGTAGAGCTCAAAGTTCCAGACCACAAAAAGAAAAAGCTAGAAGACAGAGCAGGAAAAAAAAAAAAAGTGAATCCAATCAGCATTACATTAAACTCTTGTGCACAGCTAAGACCAATAAATTAAAACAATTCTAAAGAAACCCACCTCTCCTTAGTCAGGAAAGTTGTTAAGCCACTTTGCAGACTAGCCACCTACCTGGATAAAACAACTGCTACACTTCCCATTGCTTTGTACCTTAGTTCTTGCAAAAGGAAAATTGATGGAATGTAGTCTAAGAGGAATATTAATTGTTCTCTCATAAAATAATGCTTATGTCAACAAAATAGTGTGAAACGGCATAAAAATAATGCCACAATGTAAGAAAGAAAAGCTTAGTTATTTCCATGGATAGAAATTAATTTGCTGTTCAGGAGAAAGAATTTGGTCAGTAATGTCACACAAACGAGCAGAAGCCATAAAGACCACAACTAAATCTGAAAAAAATCTTTTGCATAGAGAACTAGCAAAAAAAAAAAAAAAAAAAACCACGCTAAAAAGGTGAAAACGTACAACTGTTTTAGTGCAAGCAGAGCAAAACTGCCCTGACCACGGAATCGTGGGAAACGGGATTAATAGCAATGCTGAGAGGCCACCGAAGTCCACCCCTCTGGGAACTGCGATTTGCTGGAGCGTCTCCTCGGAACACCTCGAGCGCCCGGCACAGCCGGGTCCCTCTCCCAGCGGTGTGCGCCCCAGAAACTGGTGCTGCCCCCCAGCCCGGGGTGGGCTGCGTGTGCTGGGACGAGGCCTCGGCTTGCTCAGACCCACCAAGCTGGGCAGAGAGGGATTTTTCTGAAGCCTGGAAGTTCCAAGTGTTTGTCAGAGCCCGCGGCTGCCTGGCGGAGATGTGTCCAGCTCGACACCGGTGCTGGTACACCGAAATTATTGGCTTGCAGGAAAGAACTAAAAATATTGGGACTTAGATGGGCTCAAACTAAAACTGTTTTTACATCCAGTTTTCCCTATGAACAAAACACCCTTTATTTCAGCCAGCTCTAGCTGTAACTTGGGTTTGTTTTCTTCTACACGTTCTTCCCAAAAGTGAACGTATTACAGCAAATCACACTACGTGCCACAGCTGGATATACACCCAGAAACCTTGCTAAGCCTTTTTCACCCAAATAGTTAGGCTTTTGAATGCCTGTCTTTTTAATAACTACTAAATTGAATGAAGGTGTGGTGCCACAGAACTAGCAAACCTAAAGCAACACCAATACGTGGGTAAACTAAAACGCGGATCATTTTCCCAAATCAGTCACTTATACATACATATAAAGCCGACTAAGAATAAAATGGGGATTTTAATAGCCTTCTGCTGGATTTTTGTTTGGAGTTAAAACAAAAATCTCTTATCAAATGCAAGCTCCCACATAAAAGAAAAAAAAATCTGGATTTTAAGTAATCTTCTCTCTCAAGATCAGCTAACTTATCTCGCCCCCCTGCTTTCTACCACTGAATGCGACGTATATGGAAGTCCTGTGAGACTGCAAGACAAACATGATAAATACTGAAAGAACTGAAAAAGCAGTGTGTGACTTACATAAGAGGATATTGGCACTTCTAACAGTTAATATTTCATTTGAAAGAAAACTGCCTTTTTTAGGTTGTTTAGTTTAAAAGGAAATCTGCTAGAAATGGTAATGAGTAAGAAGCAAACAACAGCTCACGGAATTTGAGAGTTCTTCTATGAGCTTGCTAACTACCCTTCTGAGAGCAAGATCTGTGGGGATTTGATGTGGTAAACTTGATACAGCCAACTTACAACAGAATTCGCATCTCTAAAGGAAAGCAAATAATCCTTGTACCCTTTAACCCTAGAAATGCCCTGAGTCAAAGGATACATGCTGAAGGGAGCTCTGGAAGTCGGCAAACAGCACCCAAGTGTCAGAAAAGCAAATACTAGAGATTACCTGTTGAGAAATGGCAATGCCAACAGTCTTTCTTATGGTCCCATCTGAACTTTGGTCAGAAAGACAGAAAGAAAATCAAGTAATACCCAAACGACCCCTGGCTCCAGAGAAAAGAAGCCAGCAACCTAGACAGTCTCAGGCGATACAGACCTGGCCGGGGACTGAGGAACACAGTCATCAGGTACCCTGTACCCCAGGACATCAACAAATTCTTGTCCAAACACTCCTTACTTTAAGTTTTTAAGTGCCAAATGATCTTTAGGAGTATTACTTACTTACAGTACTGTACTCCGTAGGCCAGTAAAATATCATATTAAGACATTAGCTCTTTATGACTTGTATGGAGATACCTTTCAAAAATGTGGATATTACACCCACCATCTCCTGTAGGTGACTTCACTGACCTGCCACCTTAAATTCCACCTAGTCTGGTTGAATTTTAACCAGCTCCTCCTTTCAGGCACCTGTCTCAGCCAGGCAGTAGGAAAACGGGGACCCTGTATTTGCAACACAAATGAGATGTGTGCTGAGCGAGACCAGCACAGCGATGGCACTGCAAGTGAAACGGCCTCACTATCTCCCCCAGAAGAGAAATGCAGCCATGAAACGCGCGTGGGAGAAAACAAGCAGGTCCCCAGCATTAGACAAAACTTTTAAGTAAACATGAGCAAACCCAAATTCGGGTGCAGAACAGCGAGAAAATCCAGGGACTCAGTCCTTAGGCATAAAGGGCCTCATAGCTGGGGGAGAGGGAAGAAGGGACGTGGTATGTAGAAACCTTTAGTTCACTTCATGCATGAAGGGAAGGAAAACCTACATATCCACCCATTAAACAAGTACGGGGGAAAAAAAAAAAAATCCAGAAAAGCTAAGGAACAAGTATGAAAGGGCAGTTCTGGGACTTGCCCATGCCTATAAAGCATCCAGTGGAACACGGACTGTATCTGGTACGATCTCTTCCAAGGAAATAATGGCTCTAACTCTGTCTAAAAAAAGGATCCTCATCACTACTGAAACAAGCCAACTATTTTAAGGGAGGAGTGGGAGTCTCAAAGGTTACAGTTTAATATAGCTGCCATTTCCTACACAGAAGAATATAAGGGAGGACTTTTCTTCTTCTCCCCCATGAGATCAAGATTTTCAGAGTCACAGGCATGAACTGGCCATTTACAACATCACATCAGTTGATACTCTTAGTCAGAGACACATGCATTAAATGATCATTCAGGGAGACACACGGCACTATCCCTGGTGTACAACACTTCAAAAAATAATTTAAGTTAGAATATTGAATATCCTATTCTTTTGCAAACTACAGTATATTTTAAAAAGAAATCTCATCCAAAATGATTAACACTTCCTACTGTTCAGAAAAAAAGCCTGCCCTTTCAGACTAGCAGCTGTGGATCATTAGCTTTCCAGTGATGAGATGTGTTTGATGAGTATTTTTCTTTCTAATTAAGAGATGAGATTCTCTATTTGACGCTCTCTTCAGACAGGAGTGAAGAGAAAGATTTCTGCCTGTGTGGAAAGGCCATATTCTACAGAACAATTATTTCAGATTTCCTTTTATCTACCTCCACCCAATTCCATCTAATTTTTAACAGAACCCTGTTTGCCCCTACGGGCTTCGCGCCATTAACCCCCGCGTTCCCCAGCTCTCTTTATTTCCCCTTTCGCCCCCGCTCTGACTGCCAGCCGCGGCGAGCGCTGTGGAAGGAGGAGCACCCCACGCAGGAGCCGCTCGACCCACGTCCTCTGGAGCGGGGTGCAGCCCCCGGCCCGCGAATCGGCGGCCGTTCCGCAGCCTCCCCTCCGGGCTGCGCCCCGCTCCCACCGTCTTCAGGGCAGAGCCCCTCGCGCATCGCAGCTCAGCCGAGCCCTGGCTGCCCTGCAACGGCGAAGGCTGCCCGCCCCGCGCGCTGGCACAGCCACGGAGCCGACGTCCTGCAGCCCCAGCCACCGCGCCCGACGCACAGGAACATCCCTTTACCCTTTAAGCTTGAACGGACAACTGCATTTCCCGAGGCTTTGTCCCTCGGGTGTACTCTCAGAAGGCTACAAAGAATGAAGGAGACCCCACGCATCTGCACGGTACGGGCTGTCTACTAAGTACGGCGGGTTTCAAGGCCCCCGTAAAATCCTGCATGGTGTTTATACTACAAAACACTTGAAAATACTTTTCGCTGTACCTTGACCAGCCAGTAGCTCCTTCCATTACCAAATTAGTCAGTTACCCCCTGGTGATCACGGCTCCTCTCGTCTTCTATGACACTTCCATTAAAAAAATTAAAAAAGGAATTATTTCTTTTAGCTGTATCAGATCTGCAACACGCTAGTATTAACGTAAACACTTATGGGAATCCATTTCAAATGCGTTGCCCTCGTTCAGGTAAGTCGGGAAGAAATGTGCCTTTTGAACATATTCTAAAGCATCCTCCAACAGTTTTTTTTCAGCAGTCTTGCAATTTCAGTTCCAATTACATGAGTGCCAGGAGAAGGTGCAATCTGAAAGATCTGAATCTGAAACACATTATCTGTTACTCCGTTTCTTTAAATAGTCAAAAGTCAACTTGAAAATAGCAAAAGCATTGAATGTATAAAAAAAAACGCAGAAAAAAAATCACGTCATTCCTGCCTGCATTATTTTGACAGATTACCAGTGCAACCTTGGGTTAGGGTTGGTTCTCTTTTTTAAATGACTGAGGTCTTGGTAATCTGAGAAATACTGAATGATTAGTATTTTTGATCCTCTAAGAACTTTTTCTTTAACTCAGAAACAAACTGACAGGATTTCCTGCATCTTTTCTCTCTTTGCTGGAATCAGAACAATCCAGTTTACTGAAATTTAGATTTTAACTCTCACTCTTTCTGTTTATTTCATGTAGAAAAAGAAAATTGAGATATTTCCATGATGAATAATAATAGGGTCTTAACAGACTGGATGAAGTATTATTTTAAACACAGTCTCGATGCACTATTTTTTGGTGTATTGAAAGACCTATGGTAGTTCTCATTACAGCATATGGGTCCCATACCTAGAGGAACACTCAGCCAAAAAAAAAAAAAAATCTATTTCTTACTAGG